AGAGGCTGAAGCCCTTCGAGGCAGACTCCACTGGTTCAGCTCTTTCCTTTTCGGCCGCCGGCCCTGCCAAGCCTTGAGAGTCTTAGGTCTTAGGGCTAAAGGTTTAGATAGGGGTAGGAAGCTGAGCAGTGACCTTCGTGATGCTCTCACGTACCTGCGTGATCGAGCTCTGGAGTCGCCGCCTGTGCAGCTCACTCCTGACATCAAAGAAACCTTTTACGTTTTTACCGACGGAAGCCTTGAAGGAGATGTAGCCGGTGTGGGCGGCATTTTGTACGACCCACTCGGTAAACCTCTTTCTTTCTTTGCAGCCAGCCTTCCGTTTGACGCTTTGAACAGACTTAAGGAAACCTCGAGCCACCCAATCTACGAGGTTGAGTTGCTGGCCATCTGGGCCGCCTTAAAGCTGTGGATGAACCGACTTACCCGTTGCCTTGTGGTGATCTACTTGGACAACGAAGCTGCAAAGGGAGCCTTGGTATCCGGGAAGTTTCTCGACTTGGAGGACTCAGCAAGGATCCGTCCGTGGTATGGCCGGGTGCCAACCAGCTCTAATCCAGCAGACGAGCCCAGTCGTAGTGTCTTCGGTCATTTACTGAGGGATGGTGTGCAAAGGCTTCAAGCTCCGTGCGCTTGGCCGGTTTGAGGCATCTGCTTACCGAGCTCGCTCTCAGATGGGGTGTGGCAGGGCGAGCAAGGTGTGAACAAACTCGAGACTTACTGCACCCCTTTGCCCTCTCGAGAGAAAACGAAGACGCTGTCCGAGTGTGTTGCATTGTTTAAGCTTTCGCATGTGCTCAACAACAGTTAACTTTCAGAGACTCCCACGCGGTCAACACTAAGGAAATAAAGTTACGGTCCCGGAGGGACGATGCTCTTATTTCCGTGTGTTGATGAATTTTCTTTGTCAAAAATTCAAGCGTGGTTTGATTGCCCTTTTTCATGCTTCAGCTTTTCAACACATGTCATTTGCCTTGTGTTTGAACAGTGGAATCCCTCGACCATCCGATGTCGCCTGCTCGAGATGGGAGGGATGTGGAGGTAGAAGCTTTCTCTGGCCCATGAAAATTTTGGCCCGCCCTCCCTCGCCTTTTGCTGAAGTAACATCTTTGTGCCTACCCCTGCCGCTTGTGGCAGGGCGAGCAAGGTGTGAACAAACTCGAGACTTACTGCACCCCTTTGCCCTCTCGAGAGAAAACGAAGACGCTGTCCGAGTGTGTTGCATTGTTTAAGCTTTCGCATGTGCTCAACAACAGTTAACTTTCAGAGACTCCCACGCGGTCAACACTAAGGAAATAAACTTTTGAACAAGCAGCATATTGCTTTTACTTTTTCATGCACATGATTTACTGCAGCACGCGTTAGTTTTGCAATTTTAGGACGACATTAGTTTCCACGCGTCCTTGGATGGACTCGGAGGCTGTTTCTGCACCACAGAAGTCGGAAACTTCCCCGTGTCAGGCTGCTTTACAAGACAGGATCGCTGCACTGGAGGAGCAACTTTCCGCTCTCCAATCGTCGCGCCAAGCTTCCTTTGCAAAGCTGGAAGAGTATCGCACTTACTTTGACAGCAGTCTCTGGAGTCTTTTTGAGGGCGCCAAAAAGCAGGCCAGCAAGGAGAGCGCAGCGATCCGTGAAGATTTCTTTGCCGCTTTACTTGAGCTTCGGGAAGATACACTGGAAGCTTTAGGTGGCGTTCACGAAAGAGTAGATCATATTCTTCAACAACGTTTGCCTGCTTTACATACAGATATCGACATCCTGAGTGCTCGCCTTCAGATCCTCGAAGGCTGCCCGGAGCCCACAGACGGTGTTTCTTTTCTGGACTCGCTGGATTAGTCAATGGCAGATGCTTCTGATGATAGCCGTCTTCGTGTGAAACGTTACAGGCGGCAACCTGCTGAAGCTTCTTTACAGGATGCTCCAATGGAACCTGATGGGGTTCCTTTACAAGAGGTAGTAGTGGAGCGTGAAGATGGCAGGGATGATTCCAGCCCTGCTTTGACACTTTCGTCAGGTGATGGTTCTTTTGCGGTTGTGGAAGCCTCTCCAGAGATTGATTTACCAGTGCCTTCATCCTGGCTGTCAGGTGCTTCTACTTTGCCGATGGTGCCGGCCGCGCCCAAGTGGAAGCCTCGGCCTCGACCGTGCTTTACGCCTGTGGACAGGTCTGCTCCATCAGCTACGGCACCTTCGCGCGGTGATGTGCCCAAAGCTCGACCGGTGTTTTCGCAGCGATCCACTGCTACTTTACGTGTGTCACAGGACGCACGTGCCAGACCTGCTTTTCGCCCTGCTCGCGATTATGCGGTCTACCCCTCGGAGTCCAGATCTTTGGCGGCTCCCGACTTTTCAGGTATGTGGGCCACGTCCGGCACTTCGGCTCAGGATGATCCTTTTGTGGATGACTTGCTTCAGGCTGTAGATGCTTTTGCTTCGGCGAAGGATTACTCCTTTCCACCGGAACCACCTAGGGTGATGCCTGGCAATTTTGCTTTGCCGACTCGGCCGGCGAATTCCACAGCTCGGGTCACTTTGCAGAACGATGTGCATGCCAAGCTTCGTGCCAAGGGACTTCTATTGTGGCGTCAATTAGTTCTGTTGCTTTCACCGTTGAGCTCAGCCCTGCAGGAGATTTTGGAGTCGGCATCCTCAGAAGCTTTGCTTTCTCAGCTGGTTGCCTCAGTGGCCGACACGGCTCTGGTCAGGTATGTGCAGAGCTGCCTGCAGTACTTTGCCTTGCTTCAGGATCTGGGCTTCGATGCCTCGCAAATCTCCCAGGTGCAGGCCTATGATGTGATGATACAGCTTTACAGGTCCCCCGAGGATGAAGAGGAAGTCCCTACATCATGCTTCCCACTCAACACATTGAAAGCTTTGAGGTGGATGGTCAAAGTGGCCACCATTTCTTTTCCAGATTTGTATACAGGGCTTTTTCACTCAGTGGCCCACCAACGTAACGAGGCAGATCGCAGGGAGTCAGTGCCTTTACCACTCGATTTCGTGGCCTATCTGGAGTTTTGCCTGCTTTCGAATGCTTTTCCGGAACTACAGTTGAACATCGGGGCGCTGCTTGTCATGATTTGGGGCTCCCTGCGTTTCAGCGATGCTATGCACGTCAAATGGGGCTCACTCCTTTACGAACAAGAGGTAGGCCGTGGCATTTCTTTTCGGACAAAGACCTCGGTGCGTGGTGCCCCCTTCGGGGTGGTCGGGGTCGGACTGATCGGCCCCTGGTTTTCTTCCTGGCTTGCTTTACTGAAAAATGAATGGGGTCGTATCGGTAATGTTGCAGGCCATGTGGAGCCGGATGCTTTACTTTTCCACTCGAGCGAAGATGAGCTGTTCGTCCCCATGACCTATGGGGAGGGCCTTGCTACTTTACGTCACCTTTTATCGCGTTGGAACAAGCTTTCAGGTGCTCAGGTGCAAAATTATACTTTGCATAGCTGCAAAACCACGCTGTTATCATGGGCAAATCAACTTTGCATCAGCGAAGATCGGCGCGCTGTGCAAGGTCACCACAGGCATAGCAGCGCACGCCTCTACAGCAGAGATGACGTTTTCGGTGCGTTAACTTTACAACAAGAATTGTTGCGTGCGATTCGACAAGGATGGCGGCCTTTGTGTCCCCAACACCGGGGTGGACAAGTTCCTTTACACGAACCGGCCCTGGAGAATCGGTCAGTCAGCTTTACCGATCCATGCTTTGCGATCCCAGGGGGTCCGCCGTCTTTTGACCATGCTTCTCAACTTTGCCCCACTGTCGATGTGGATGCAGACTTGGCAGGTGATACTTTTACGGCAGCATCGGGCTCTGCAGTGGTTTCGACCCCGGAGAAAGCAGCTACTTTGCCTGTACACTCGTCAGGTGATCAGGGCTCTCCGGAGGAGCTTCTTTTCATCATCACTGCCAAGACTATACACAAGGCGGTGGTGTGCTCGGAGCTCGACCGGTGTACCACTTTCCAAGGAGTGCACCTCAAACCGGCTTGCGGATGCATTGTGAGCATCTTCCAGGTGGTGCATTTTGCACCCGCAGGCAAGAAACTTTGCAGACACAAAGCATGCTTAGAGCTTTGATTTTGCCAGAAAATAAGTGCTGCAGCGGTTGACTTTGCATGTGCTAGTGCATTCCATGTGTGTTGTACTTTGCCAGCCTCGCTCGCTTCAGCCTCGGCTCGCTCTCAGCTTTACTGCCTCGGAGCTTCAGGGGGACTCCCCACCGCGTCATCTACCAGGCTGGTGTGCACAGCTTGCTTTTCTACAGTGTTGTGCAGAACACAGTCGCAATGCGTCATGACAGTTATGTGTTCTGCTTTTCGAGTGTTTCGGCATGGTGCGTCACATGAGCGTACGCCCTAATGGGCGCTCCAAGCACTGGTTGCGTCGACTTTGCGTCCTAATGGGCGCCCGAAACACTAGTTGCGTCGAGTTTGCGTCCTAATGGGCGCTGGCCGTGCGGGTTGCGTCAACTTTGCGCCTTAATGGGCGCTCGAAACACGGGTTGCGCCAACTTTGCGCCCTAATGGGCGCCCTAATCAATGGTTGCGCCGACATTGCGTCATAATATGCGCCATTTGAGCGCTACTTGCGTCGCTTACGAATGCTTTGCGTCAAATTATACGTCCCAATGTGCGTCAAATTCATGCGTCGCGTCCGACATGTGCGTCAAATTCCGAGCTTTGCGTCAATTGTATGCGTCACATTCCCGTCAAATTCCAGTCAAATTTGCGTCATATTCGTCAGCTTTGCGTCAAATGTGCGTCACATTCCGGTCAAATCCCGGTCAAATTCGCGTCAAATTCGGTCATATTCGGGCAGATTCGTATGCATTGCGTCAGCTTCGCGTTCCTTTCAGTGATGTCAAGTGCCAGCTTCTGCAGTCAGCTTATGCTTCATGTCACATGACTTCATGGGCAGCTTTGTTTTGCGTTGCAGAGCTTTGCCCGAGACTTTGCGTGCGCCCCCTGTCACAGCTTCTCGCTTTACTTTGCGTCATGGCCCAGAGTGATTGCTTTCCGGAGAACTTTTCGGAGCTTTCGTCGTGGGATCTCTGGGATGCCTCGGAGCAGTTTGCGGGGCGGGACGGTTATTCCCGTGAGCAGTGGTTCAGCTTCTGGCGTTCAGCTTTGCAAGATCGGGTGGATGCCCCGACCCAGGAGCCCTGTTCTACTTTGCCCTCACCTACGACGACGGAGCCAGCACCCTCCGACGAACTCGACGGTGCTACGACGGAGGCGGCTTCTACTTTGCCTGCATCGGCAATCGATCCTTCGTCTACTTTCCCGGCCCCGCCGGAAGCCCCCCACCATGAATGGGGCACAGATGAGTGGGTGCCTACGCCCAGGGCCAGCTGGGAGGAAGACTCATGGCCCTCTCAGGGTCCCAAGGGAGGTGACACAGCACCTCGAGCGTTGGGACCCGCGCCCGGACCCCACTACTTTGCAGACGCCTTCTGATGGTCCGGGCGACACTTTGCCCTGCACGGTGGAAGCGGATCCCCCTGCCTCAACACAGGCGGCTGAAGTGCTTTCCACGGATGGGCCGCCCTCTTCTTTGCCTACGCCTACCATGGAGGAGGCGGACTATGTGCCGTGGAACTTTTCGCAGCTCACGGAGGCGGAACTCTGGCAGGCGTCCATTTTTCGAAGATTGGTTGGGATATGACAGACAAGAGTGGCTCGACTTTTGGATCACTTTGCGGCATTCCCAAGGGACTTCAGCTACTTTGCACCCTGCTTCAGATGGTGCTGCTGGGTCCACTACGGATGCTCCCCCAGATCCTTAGCCTTCCACGACTTCTACAGATTCGTCCCCTCCTTTACCTTCGTCGGCAGCTTCGGGGACTACCACAGCACAGGACGGCAGTTCTTTACCGCAAGCCTCTGCATCAGCAAGCGGCGATCGGCCGCGTACTTTGCCTCACAATCAGCGCGTTTTCCGCACAGAGTGGGGCGAAGATCAGTTGATCCAACGGGCAACGGTATTTTGGTGCCGAGAGGGCTGCACCAGCTGCTCAGGAGCAGGTACGTGCGGCGCTACTTTGCTCGATCCTCGTCATGCACACGTCCATCGTTGCAGACTCTGTTATGGAGAATACCGTCGACGGCAGGGGCGCAATACTTTCTGCAATGCTTACGGACAGTAGCTATTTACTTTACTGCCAGACGCGTCCTCCAAGGTGCTTTTTCTGGGGGTGAAGTTCTTAATTGCGTCAATGCTGGGTTCCCACGGCTGATACTCTACTTTAGCATTATGCTTCTATATATGTACTTTGCTCAGCGTTGCACGGGCCTCCGGCCCCCTTTCTTTCTTTGCGTCTGGGACCCAGCAGCACGCGTACCGACCTACTTTGCTTCCTGAGAAAAGATTCTGCGTGCTTTGCGAAGTTTTCTGACATGTTCATGCTCATATTCAGCCTTCAGCCACATGTGCGACTGTCAGGTGATGGATTCGTTATCCCCGAGATCTACGGTGCAGCAGTTGGCCACAGCTTTGCAGCTCTCGATCCCAGCATCTGCAGCATCTCTTGGTGATTTGACTTTGCTTTCGTTTGGCCTTGGCACTGTTAACCTGGAAGGTCTCGATGCTTTCCTCACGGCCAAAGGGTGGTCGCCGGATGCTGAAGAGATTCCAGTTATCAGAATGTTGTGGGTGCAAGCACATAAAGTCTGTACTTTGCCGTCAGCGACCTCGGATTCTTCGGCAAGTACCCGCATTCCACATGGGCTGAAACTTTTCCTCCCAAACCTTCCACAGAAACAACACTACAGTTGAGGCGTGACTTTGAGAAAGCCTATCCTTCCGAAGTTTTGGATGATACCAATTTTCCGAGTGCATGCCTACTTTCCCTTGCTTACAGACTCAAAAGCAAATCGGACTGGAAATTCATTCCTTGGAAACACAGACTTTCGAAACTTCAGGAGGAGGACTATCACTCGGCTCGTCCCAAGAAGATGGCGAAATTTGAGAGCTTTACAGACGTCCTTTACGACGACGTGCCCTCACGCAACATCGCTGAGAACATGGGGCTGTACGGGATCAGCAATTTACTTTCCATACATTCCAACGCCATTGCACTCGCGGACATTGCCCATCTCGCTACTTTACGTGCCTATGAGCGTAAGTTCTTGAAACATGTCCAAGCCCGAACAGATCCCACTTTGCGTCCACCGAACGCACAGGAGTGCGAAGCGGCTGATCGACGATGTTGGGAGGTCGTCGGTCAGCTCAGGCAGGAGGGTTGGTCGGTTGATGATGCTTTGCATGAGTTCACTGATGTTCGCGCGGAGCTCGTTGCTTTGCTCGCTCCCCGTCTCGCTCCTTTCAAAGGGAAGAAAGGAGATGGCAAGGGCGGAAAAGAACCCTGGAAGGGCCAGCCCCACAAAGGGGGTAAGACCACGGGGGGCAAAGGCGGTGCAGGTGCTGGAAAGGGGAAGTCGAACTTTACCAAGGGCACCCATGCGTTTGAGTGGGCGAGCAAGGCGAAGATCAATGGGGAGCAGAAGGTACTTTGCATGGCATACAGTACCCACAAAGGCTGTACGTCTGCCAATTGCAAGTTCGAGCACCTTTGCCCCGTGATCTTGGAAAATGGTAAGATTTGCCTTCAGAAGCACCCTGCTTATCAACATGCACAGAAGGCAGGCTCTTGAGGGGGACCGGGCCTTGAAGACGCAGGCAGTGAAGGCCTGGTTCCAGTTACTTTGCCTGCAGATGTTCCAGGAGATGCTCATTCTCCGCAGCCCCGTGATCCTCCTCCGGATCCCGTGGCATCGAGTGCTCCTCAGACCTTTGCACGCGTTGTCTCGGAACCTGGCTCAGGCTTTTTCCTGGACATCAACGGAGGGGTTCGTCGCCCACTCTCGGCAGCTTTTCTTGGAGCGGGCTGTGATACCTTTTCAGTCGCTCCCGAGGCTTTTCCAGAACGTGACCTTTTGCAGGATGATTTCTTCTTCGCTTTGCTCAGGGTTTGTCACTCTGGGCAGGTCGCTCTTTTACACATTCTGCTTTTGGCCAGCGACTTTTCTTCGACTCTCTTCGAGCGTATGATCCAACTAGCACATGCTTGTTTTGCAGCGGGATCCCATGTGTTGCTTTCTCAGCATTCTTCTTCTGCAGTTTGGAGCAATCCTTCATTGCTTTTTCTCTTGCGACAAATGAGCTCCGATATTATTTTCTGGGATCCGCTTCAATTTGGGTGCAACTTTTCGAACGTCGGGATTTTGGCGGCATCCTTTTCTTCTTTGCAGCATTTGGCGACATCCTCTTCGGCCACCTCTTCGACGAAGGCCCCTGTGGAGCCTGTTGATTTCGCACTCAGCGCGGACTTTGTGCTTGCGGTGGCCAAAGGTTCTCTGCATCTTTTCTCTTCCAGAAGTCCGGAACCTGAAGATTTGCATCTGAGTCAGATTCCTTTCCTGAGGCAGGTCAAGCAGACGTTCGAGCCTCCCTTTGCGAACCAGGACGGTGCTGGGATTTACTCGGTACCTGATTGGAGTGCTCCCCCACCGGGGGCACGGGATTTACTTTGTGGCCTCAGATCCAAGCTTCGACAGTGGCTTTTTGACAACAAGATTCCACAACGACTGCGGGTCCATGCTTTGCAGCACAGCTCGGAACCTCTTTTCCAGGAGGGTGAGATTCATCATCTGAGGCAACTTTTCCAGACCTGGGTTTTCGAACAGGGGTCGAAACATGAAGTCGACTGGACGATCCCCGAGCATCAACCTTATGCCTTGCATGCCCTGAAATTCTTTTCGGCGTTTGTCAAGGACAAGGACGATACACTTTGTCAGTGCTTGATTGATGGTGTCCCCACGGGGTACGATGGCGACATTCCGCTTTCCAAGGTCTTCATACCACACCCTTCGGCACCGGAGCTCGACCACCAGCTTTCTATCGCCAAGGACAACTGGCAGAGTGCTAACAATGATCCTGATACTTTGCGGGAACTTGTGCAAGCTGAGGTTCAGAAAGGATGGCTGTTCGAGATGCCTTCTTTACAGGCGGCCCAGGAGCGTTGGGGGGAACGCGTCGCGGTAGGGAAAATGTCGCTCGTACTTTCCCCGCCGAGGGCTCCAAGACTGGTGGTCGACTCTACGGTCTGTGGTACCAATGACGCCTGCTCTATTCCGGAGCGTTATACTTTGCCAGGCCTCCAAGATGTTCGAGATTGCTTTCCTTTACGCCATCATACAGGCCTGTGTGAAGGTTTCCACCTGGATGTCAAAGCAGCTCACAAAACGGTGCGCGTCAAAGAGTCGGACCAGGGGTTGCTCGGTGTCACTTTGCCAGGTCCAGAGGGTGAAGATGATAAGCTTTTCTTTTATCGCGTTTGTCCATTCGGTGCAAACTTTTCCGCTTTGTGGTTTCAACGACTGGCTGGCATGCTTTTGCGACTGATGCATCTTTGGATATTTGTCCGCCACGCCCTTATGGGCTATGTCGATGATTTTCTTTTCATCCAGGACCGCGAATGTATACTGTATTCGGCTTCCCTTTTACTTTGCTTTACATCCATATTTGGAGTGCCCCTGAGCTGGGCCAAGTTGCAGTTGGGGAGCTGTATAACATGGATTGGCTGGACGTTCAACTTTACCAGCGGCTCTTTTCATATTCCTAAAGAGAAAGTTGACAAGCTTTTCCACTTGATTCAGGAGGCTACACGGTCCAGGAGGGTTACAAGTGCCCTGTTGCACAAACTGGTGGGACTCCTGCAGTGGTTCTGCCAGCTTTACAAATCTTGCAAACCTTGGTTGGCTGCGCTTTTCTCGGACCTCCACAGACATTTGGCCTCTCAGTACAGCATATCACAGGGACTGTGGCCTTCTTTGTCGAATTACCTGGATGATGATCTCCGCTTTACATCCATACCTCCGGGTACTCAAGTACCCCTTGGGGGCAAGCTTCTGGAGGCCCGTCATACGGAGCTCAAAACCAAGCAAGATCTTTGCAAGGTTCGTACCTCCAACCGCATTTGGATGCGGGTGACAAACCCAAAATCAGACCGACGCTCGCTGTCGCCGGCTTCGAGAACTTTTCTGGCTTTCTGGAAGGAGTGGTGTCAGCGGCCTCAGCCTTACACCGCTCTTTCTATTCCTTTACGACTCCAGGTCGAGGCCTTTGCGGATGCAAGAGCAGATAGCGAACTCATTGGCATCGGCGGATTTATAGCTTTTCCGTCGGGGAAGTGCATTTGGTTTTCTCAGTCCTGGCAGCTTTCAGACTTGTCCATCCTGGGACTTGAGCTTCGCCGACCTGCACATAAAGATATTGCCTGTTATGAAACTTTAGCGCAGATCGCTCTGGTACACTTATACAGGTCTGTCTTTCCTTCAGGTCGGGTGGCAGTGCGTCTGCCTTCCTTTTCTGACAATGCATCGACTGAGGCTCTGGGGGCTAAACTTTACACCTCCAAATGGCCTCTTGGAGCGTTTGCCCAGAAACTTTCCCTGATATCGGCAGCGTCGGGGATCGAGCTGGATATATCTCACATTGCCGGTGAGAAGAATGATGATGCAGATCTTTTGAGCAGGTGGAATCAAACAGATGCTTTACCGGACAGGTGGCGGAAAGAAGACCGGGTGGACTGCTCTCTCACCTTCATCTGGTTCTTTCGCAAGGAGGTCATGGTGTGGCCCTCCCACTTTTCCTTGCCTGCAAGCACACAGGAAAGGCATGTGTCAGATGATGACCTATGACAGTGCCCGCAGGATCTTTGCCCGGGGCCTTTTATGATGGGCTGCTTTACGCCCGCAGGATGTTTGCCCGGGGTGCAGCGTTTCACTGAGCGAGCGCGTCAAACTCTCACTTTTCACTTTGGGGAACCAGAGGGCGAGACTTTGACTTTGCCGGTTAAACTGTGGGTCTAAACTCTCGAAGCTTCGTTGTAGCTTTTCTTTGCTTAGCTTCAGCTTACTGCTTCAACTTACTTCTCGCGTTTCCGGCAAAGTCAAAAGGTCTCTCTGCTTGCTTTGCTCTGTAGCCCGTAGCGTGTCTTGGGTTCGGTAAAGTTGAACGTTTCATGTGTTTACTCATGGGTGTTTTACTTTACCGCGTTCCAAACACAACATTTCGGCCCAAGACACGCGTGCTTCAGCATAGCATAAAGTTTCGCTTCATGCTTTAAACTTTTGACCCACCCGCCCAGCCCTGAGTGTTGCTTTTTATAAGCTTCTTAGCCTTATATACTTCGTACTTTTGTTGCTTTACTTTGGGCGAGGGGGGTCTAAACTCTCGAAGCTTCGTTGTAGCTTTTCTTTGCTTAGCTTCAGCTTACTGCTTCAACTTACTTCTCGCGTTTCCGGCAAAGTCAAAAGGTCTCTCTGCTTGCTTTGCTCTGTAGCCCGTAGCGTGTCTTGGGTTCGGTAAAGTTGAACATGGGAAATGAGAAGGGTTTCGTTTTGTACATGATTTTATTGCATGAAGAATTTTCTTTGACTGTTTTCATGTGCATAGCATTGATGCGAACAATTCATATCCGTTGCAGTCGGCCATCAAGGGCAGAGAAAATTCTTTGGGGCTCTCTAGAGGCTTGTAATCTGCTTCTAGCAGGCCCGAGCCCTCCGTATTCTGGTGTTGCTCTTAGAGCGCCGTGCAAGAGCCCCGCAGGGGCTCGGATGGACTTGAGTGCAAGGTCCTCCTCCAGTGACACTCACGAGGCCATTTCTGCACACTTGCACGCGCTTCAGCTTCAAGTCAGTGCCCTTGAACAACACCTTGCTGCGCTGCAATCAGAACTCCAGGAAGTGCGCCAGCAAACTTTGAACCTTGAGGCCGAACGATACCAGCACTCCCTTCGACTGGGGTGGCTGGAGCAATTGGTGCAGCGCGTGTCCCGCGCTTTCCGTTGATAATTTCCCTACCCGATGAGTTGTCCATCTCCGGACCAGATCCCGAGCAAGGACCCGAGTCTGCATCTGAATTTTCGGGGGAGCATCGTGGGATTTTTGATTTGCTTCGTGACAACTCAGAACTTGAGCCTGACACTCGTCTTGAGCTTCTTGATGAGGAGGTTAATTGGTATCAGAGTGTGGCTGATCTGTCAGATGAGCCTGAGCATCGTTGGACTGAAGAGCCCTCTGACTTAGGTGAAGGTCTTGACACCGAGTTGCCTGTGCCTGCTGAACAACCGTGTGAGGTCTGCCTGCCAACTTTGGAGCCTCTGCCTATGCTTTCTCCAGTGAGGTTTCAAGGTCCTGGCTCCGCTGACCCTCAGTTGAATGCCTGGCAGGTGGATGCAGTTTTGTTTGATGTGAAGCGCAGGCGCTTGAGCATTCCAGCGCAACCTTGGAATTCCGGACCTTTTGCCTTAAAGATGCCTGGGGTTGGTTCTGCGACTAGTTTCTTGAATAGGGCCAGACCTTCAGTCGGGTTAGCTGATGTGCTTAACCCACCACTCAATTCGCCGTTGGGTGTCAGAGAGCCAGAGCCAGTGCTGGCGTGGGTGGTTGAATCTAGGCTTCGCCACTTTAGAGTTGAACGGTCGGATGAGGACTTGAGGGTGCATGCCCTTGCTCGAATCCGTACATTGGTCATGCTGGATCCGTTGGCTTCAAAGCTAGGAAGAAGTTTGGCAAGTGATGTCGAAAATTTGGCCACAGAGGAGGAAATTTCATCTTCCTTCTCCCATGCCTTCGCATCCAAGGCTGCAAGCACCATCCACAAGAGGGCTGGTTCATTGTGTAAGTTTGCAAGCTGGTGCATGCGAGAGGGAGCATCTCCCTTGAGGTTTGAAGAGGTGCATCTGTATCGCTACCTATGTGATCTTCAGAAGTCCGCTGGGGCTACATCAGGAAGCCATCTGATTGAAGCCCTACGCTTCTTAGATTCGGTGGTGAGTTTGGTTCACATTGAGGTCGAGGAGGTGATGTCGGCTCGGTGCCGTGGTGTTGCTCAGGAAATGCATATGGCCAAGGCTCCGCTGAGGCAGAAGAAGGCTTTAACCAGGAAGCAGGTGGAACATCTTGAGCTCTTCACCACGCGTGCTTCTTCGAGGCATGCCTGCATTTCGGGACAGCTGTTGTGGTGTATGCATTCGGGGTCAAGGTGGAGAGACTCGCAAACCCTTCGCCACATCGAATTGGAGGTGGACGAGGAATCAGGCGACGTCCTGATTTACGGTGAGGCCCTAACCTCAAAGACGACCTTGACCGCCAAGGCCAAAACCACTCTGCTACCATACGTGGGAGTGGGACTGGGCGTTTCAGGGTTACCTTGGGCAAAAGCTTGGATCGATGTACGCGCTGCTGAAGGCTTGACTGATGTGGATCCTTTTCTGCCCACGTTTTGTGAAAGGAAAGGTTGCTGGGGTTCGCAACGACAGCGTCGGAAGCCAGCATTTACCTCCGTGAGTTTCTTCAAAGCATGGACCCGAGCTACGGAGAGCTGCGGGAGTTGGGGACTCATTCTATGAAGAGGACTTTGCTAAGTTGGGCGGGGAAGTCCCATCCAGTCACCTTCACTCATCCTGAAAGACGTCTTTTAGGACATCATCTGGATCAGGAGAACAAATCGGTGGTGGTCTACAGCAAGGGCGCGTACGTGGCCTTGTACGGAAAGGTCCTTGGGATGTATGCCACAGTTCGTTCCGGCCTTTTTGATCCTGACATGAGTGCTGTGATGAGGATGAAATCCATTGCGCATCGAGTTTCTCGGGTTGAACCTTGTGAGGACGATCCTGAGGCTTCAAAGGAACCGTCTCGACGTGAGCCCCGAGGAGAGCCAGAACCAGAAGCCGCTGATTCTGAGGTGGGTAGCTTGAGCTCGGGCTCCGATGAGCCGACCGAGGACCTCCAGGTGCCGGGAGCTGTGAGAGTCAGATCACCCTTCAAAGGGGTGGATCTTAGTTCATGCTGGACGCATAAGATTTCTGGCATAACGCATGTTATGAGAGATGAGCACTCGTTGCTTTGCGGTCGTTTCCTGTCCTCAAATTTTGTTGCGACCAGAGAGGCAGGGATCGCAGGCGTCAACCCGGAGTGTTGCCATCAGTGTAACCGGTGCCTTGAAACTTCGTGAGCTTGAGTATTGAAAAAGGAGCTCGGGATGGAATCGCGAGACATTCTCCGTGACCTGCCGATTGACCCACAGCCGAGTGCGGTCAATGTCAGCGGCGGGGGAGGATCTCTGTGACGCGAGGGGTGCCTGCTTCGCGCAGTGAAGGTCGATGGCACTTGGATTGCAGCTGGTCCACATGCGTCGCATGCAGCCGAGTGCTCACAGGATTTCGACGTCCGTCCTAAACATTGTCAAATCTGGTACTTTCCTGAGGTGGTAGGCTCCTGTGGGCCTAGACTGAATTACGCTTCCATTCTGAACATCGCAGTTTCACGACACTTCCTGAGGTGGTATGCGTCTAGCCGTCCAAGTGATAGGAGAACGCATGCTGAGCAACATGGCTGCCGCGTCCTTGGACTCGGAGGCATCCTTCAAGGAACGGGCCTTGAAGGTGGGATCTCTACGCCAGTGCTGCAAGAGCTTCTTACTGCGGGATTCACCACGTTTGGCAAATTGTGCTTTGCGGTGTCTGCTAATCCCACGCAGCTTGATGATACTGCAGTGGACTTATGGGTCCGTAACGTTTTCAGCACTGCCCCATCGCCGTATCAGGTGTCCTGCCTTAGGAGGTTGCTGTTTGAGGCCAACAGCTTGAACATTGCAGACCTGCACACTCGTGTGGAGCCTCCGGCTGATAATGTCGTGCGTAAGCTCCCAGCAGCAGAGCGTGCGGCCCGTGCCCAGGCGCAGCAGGCTCGCCTTGTAGGGGTGGTCTTCACCCCGGAGACTATTCCGTCTAATGGCCTGGTGGATCTCTTTGTGGACCAACTGGAGTCAGAGATTCTGCCTGAGCGTTGTGTTTCAAGGGCCCAGGAAATGATGTCCGTGAAGAAGGATAAGACCATCAACATCGACCAAGATGGCCGTATGCGCATCAATTCGAAGCCCAATGACCTTCGGTGTGAAACCTCTTCTGATGCTAGACTCAAGGCGGCGTGGAACCGCCGATCTCTTGCAATGGATCTAGCGGGTGTGTGCTCATATATAGAGATCGAGAAGTGGGTGCAGCATTTGTTCTCGTGCCAGGCGCGAGAGGAGCCTAAGGGAATGTCGCCTATCAGTGTCAATCAGCTAACTCAGGCTGACCGTGCCCTCTTCATGTATGCCTCTGAAAAGTTGATGGGTCGGCTTGCTGCTCCGGCCGGACAGCCCAAGCCGCTTGATGACGTCATTCAAGAATTGATGCACTCACCACAGGTCACTCAGTTTCTGCAGCCTGTCCAACGCCCGCCTGACCCTCCTGCCGGTTGGGATGGCAATGCTTGGAAAGGCAAGGGTAAGAAAGGCAAAGAAGGCAAGGACGGAAAAGGAAAGACAGGCAAAGGCACTGGTGCAGCTCCTTCCAAACCTGACATTCCTGAGGGCTGTGTATCTCGAGATGCTGCCAATAAGCCCATCTGTTATGGATTCAACCGCGGCACATGCCGATGGAAGGGCAAAGCTGGCCGATGCCAGAGAGGACTGCGCATATGCTGGAAGGCTGGATGCGGTCGTGCCAAGCCCTACTTTGAGTGTACGCGTTCCGATTGACAGGACCCGGGCACGGCTTCTCTTGCTCGGGCCGTGCCGCTCTCTGTGCAAGGGCAAGACTTTTCTACTGCCACTGTCGGCGGTACCAGGACATTCGACGATGCCGAGGCTCTAGCCGCGGAGTGCCTTAAATCGGGGCCTGTTTCCCGTGCTCAATTGGGGCGGATCTTTGAGGTTCTTCCTGATTCCAAAGGTCGCCGCCAAGGGGGTGAGTTTTCCAAATCTATTGTGTCTGGAGCCTATGTCTTTGCTGGACAATCGGGTGTGTGTGGAACCACTCGAACCTATCCGCATTGCGTCAGGGCTTGCATTTCAGTTCTGAATCATTTCTTGCCGTGCCATAGTTTCACATCCATTGCCCTCTTCTCTCAGATTGAGGCTGATGTGCATGTCGATCGCCATAACTTGCCAGGCAGCTTGAGCGCTGTCATTGCGATTACAGATTTTAAACAGGGTGGCTTGGTTGTCGAGGACCCCGATGGTCCCGAACGCGCTTGCTTCCAAGGAAAGGTTATCCATGGCCGGATAATTCCTTTTCAAAATCACGTCCTTGTCTGTGATGCTCAATCCCAGCGGCATTGGACCCAGGCTTGGCAAGGACGCAGGCAGGTTCTGGTGGCTTACAGCGTGCCCACTCAGGGTTTGTCTGCTGAGGACATTCAATTTCTGCGCGACTTGGGTTTCTCGCTGCCTTCTGCTACGAGAGTTCCGCGACCCGTCCGGGATAGCCGTCCCTGGGCCATGGAGGTTTTCGCGGGGTCTGCGGTGCTGTCTAAAGCTTGGATCCGAGCTGGCTTCCGTGTGCTCGCCATCGACATTTGTGTTCGGGGTGCACAAGTGCCCATTGCACCTTTGGATTTGACTTCGGCATCGGGCCTTAAGATTTTCTGGGATCTTGTGGCTAAACTGCAGCCAGAGGCCATCCATGTCGGGGTTCCATGCGGTACGGCTTCTCGTGCTCGAGAGAAACGCCTTCCAGCCAATGTTGTGACGGCTGGGGCCCCTGAGCCCCAGCCTTTGAGGGACGCTTTGAATCCTATGGGCTTGCCGAGTTTGTCTCCTGGCTCTCTTGACGCCCTCCGAGTTACAAAGGCTAACCAGCTCTATGAGCTTTCCCTTGACATTGCCTTGTTTTGTGCCGGCCGCGATATTGTCGTGTCCATTGAAAATCCGGCCAGATCTTGGGCCTGGGCGGCCATCGTTGAGCTCCTGCACCGCAGGGCTAACGCCTCTGACTGTGCCTGCTTTAATCGCCTGCAATCCGTCATTTTCCATTCCTGCATGCATGGGGGCAGCCGTCCCAAACAGACCAAGCTGCTGTGTACCGCTGACGTTTATGCCACCCTCAGCGCCCAGTGTGATGGGCGGCATCAGCATGAGCCCTGGTCTATCGCAGCCAAAGAGGGTCGTTGGCATTTTGCCACTGCCCAAGAGGCGGCCTATCCTGCTCTTCTGGCAGCTCGCATGGCCCGCTGTTTGCTGCTTCATGTGCGAGCCAAACGTCCTGCCGTCCGTTTGGAGCCGGCCCTCTCCGTCCTGTCATCTGCCGCTGTGTCGCGTCAGACTCGCAAGCACGCCGCCCTGATTCCAGAATTTGCTCAGGTGATCCAGCTGCCAACTTCTCAGGTTGATAAAGGCATGCGTGTCCTTCGCGAGGTCTCGTTCCATGGGGAGTGTGCGGGAGACTGCGAATCGAACAACCCTATTGCCGAGGCCCAAGTGCCCCCTGAGGGTTCTAGTAGGCCCCTCCCTAATAAGGGTTTTGTCAAGGTTGGTGTGTAGCACACCCCTTCCGCTTTCGTGGAAAAGGCGCAAGCGTTGCAGCACCCATTCGATACCCACAATCCTGTGGCTGCTGTCACTGTGGATGTGATCGACTTTCTGGTGAACTCTTCTCCGCAGCAAGTGACTTTGCACAGGAAGCTGGCCTTGCTTAAGTTACAGCTGCTGATCAAAAAGGGTGAGAGAGAGGAGGCGGACCTCCACAGTAAGATGCATCCTTCAGTGGCTAAGGTGATGCGTGGTAAAAAGATTTTTAGCACTTAAGGCCTTACTTGAACAAGAAGGTTATGATGACCTTGAGGCAGTCAAGTTCTTGACCGAGGGTGTACATGTCATGGGCTCTGAACCCCACCCTCCTTGCTTCGACAAGAAGGTGAAAGCCGCTACGCTAACTGAGCAAGACCTGCGGGATACAGCCAAGGAGAGACGGGAAGCCATTGTTGGTGATGATGCACCCGGCGACGCGGCCAAGGCTCAACTCTTGTTTAAGGTCACGCAGGAGGAAGTCGACCTGGGTTTCCTAGATGGGCCGTACACGGCTGATGAAATCTCAAACTTGGTGGGGCACGACCAGTGGTGCGTCATAAGAAGGTTTTTGCTGGATCAAGGGTCGAAACATCGGCCTATCGATGATGCCTGTCAGTCGCAAACCAATGCTGCCTACAGCGCTACCATCCGCTTGGAGCTTCACAATGCTGATTACGTAGCATCGTTGGCCCTTCTCATCGCCAAGAAGGCCAAAAACCAAAAGCACGGGTCAGGTGCATGGCTGGGTAAATGCCTCGACTTAACCAAGGCTTACAAGCAGGTAGCATTGCACCCGGATCAACGAGATTTATACATAACCTACTTCAGAGGACCAGGGGGAGAGGAACAATTTTTCCTCCCCAATGCGCTGATGTTTGGCGCCACTGCCGCCGTTTTCGGGTTCATTAGGATTAGTCGGTGTCTCTGGTTTCTCGCGAACAAAGTCATGAAGGTTCCATCAGCTTGCTATTTTGACGACTACCCTCTCTTCGCACCAGAAGAGGGGGCCCAGGAGGCAGATGAATGCATAAGTCAATTCTTCACCATGCTGGGGTGGTCTCACGCCGTCACAGGCGAAAAAGGCAAGCCGTGCTCATCGTCCTTCGATGTCTTAGGACTTACTTTGGACTTATCGCAACTGCAGAAAGGTTTAGTGGTTCTCAGGAACAAACCCGGACGGGTGGAGAAAATCTTGAGTGAGTTTGACAAGGTCTCTGAACCGGAAGCCATCACCCGCCACCAGATACAGGTCCTCCATGGGCTGTTGAATTTCGCTGCGGGGTTTTACTCCGGAAGGGTGCTGAAACACTTGTGTTATGATCTCCTGGAGTTCCTTGAATGGCGCGGCCCGGTCGCTTTCCAACGGCTCCAGAAGCTTTCAACACGAGTGAAGCATGTGCTGGAATCGATGCCGCCCAGGGTCTTGTCGTGCAACTTTGCTGCTTGTGAATCAATACTCGTGTGGACCGATGGCTCGTGGGAATCGGGACATGCGGGTATTGGTGCTTGCATCTGGGATCCCTTGAAACAGTGTGGACATGTGCTAGGAGGTGTGGCTCCAGCTTGGGCGATTGAGTCGTGGAAGGAGGACTTCGATGCTCGGGATGGCGAGCCTCAACTTATATGCCACATTGAGTTGCTAGTTCTAGTGGCGGTAAGATGGATGTTCCAAGATCAATTCCTGAGCAGGCGAGTGATTATGTTCGTCGACAATGACGCCGCTCGGTATGCCATTCTGAAGGGTGGAAGTGGAAGTGACGGGATGAACAACTTAGTCCAGTTGTTCGACCTTCCTGATCTAAAGTTTCCGTCTTTGTATTGGATTGACCGTGTACCGTCGAGTAGCAACATAGCGGACGGCCCTTCCAGAGATGACTTCGCTTTGGCACTTAAGTTGATGAAGGCCACTTGCGTGGAAGCCTTCGCTTGGCACGACGAGCTTAAGACTTCAGTCATCACAAGGCGCAAGAGGAAAGGGGTGTGACCGCGCCCAAATCCTCGTGTGCCGATCATCCGAGATCGGGAGGTGCATAATCTTTTAACTTGATGGCCGGCACGTTGAGTTTCCCCTTTGTACGCCTCGAGCGAAAAAGAGTGATGCGCGAGTGATTGAGGTCTGTGCCATATTGCGATTCGAGAGAATACATTTATCTTATTACAAAGGATTGCTTCTTCGATAAATAATTGGAGACTGCGATCTTTATGCTTACAATTTGTTCAGAGTTTACGAAACCTTTGAAACTTTGTGGAAGTCAGTTTGCCGCGGGCGGACTAAACGTTTCCACCAAGTTTCAAACATTCTCATGGGAAATGAGAAGGGTTTCGTTTTGTACATGATTTTATTGCATGAAGAATTTTCTTTGACTGTTTTCATGTGCATAATTAGCATTGATGCGAACAATTCATATCCGTTGCAGTCGGCCATCAAGGGCAGAGAAAATTCTTTGCCCACCCGCCCAACCCTTTCTTCTGCTGTGGGGGGGGGTGTGACCGCGCCCAAATCCTCGTGTGCCGATCATCCGAGATCGGGAGGTGCATAATCTTTTAACTTGATGGCCGGCACGTTGAGTTTCCCCTTTGTACGCCTCGAGCGAAAAAGAGTGATGCGCGAGTGATTGAGGTCTGTGCCATATTGCGATTCGAGAGAATACATTTATCCTATTACAAAGGATTGCTTCTTCGATAAATAATTGGAGACTGCGATCTTTATGCTTACAATTTGTTCAGAGTTTACGAAACCTTTGAAACTTTGTGGAAGTATTCGTCCCATGCTGCACCGATTTCTTGCGGCCAGTATCCACGCCACGATTCAAGGCTTGCTGGATCGCCGCCATTTTATAATTGCATGTCGCGACTTTAAACCGCGCGCCAAAAGAATTAATCTGCTTCCGTATCTTCCGCTTTACGGTAGTAGAAAGCCTTTGAGCCCCAAGCCGCAATCCAGCCGCCTTTACGGCAGGCCACACAGTACCAAGCTTGCGTGCCTGTTTGCGCCTCAGACTGCCGCTTCGGCGAGGGGGGTGTAATTTGTGCACGTGTGAAGTACCATGTTGTGTGTGACATTGTGGCACAAGTGCTCTGACAGGGAAAAAGACGTAGCTACCGAATGGTATACCCTGCGTAACTTGTCAACACTTGGACGGGTATATATCAGTGCGTGTGTGCAGTGGTTTCCTACAACTATATAATTCGGGCCGGGAATTAAGCACTTCACACAATGTACTTCCGGAGCCCCACCACCATGTTTACATTATTTACATTGCTTAACTCGGCCCGGGAAGTTAACAGTTTTCATTAATCTAAATAACAAACATATTTTGCATCCTGGGGAAGGGGGTCCCGTGGGGTCCCGAGCCCTGCTTCCAGGTTCGGGTTTGGACCTTTTTCCCGCCACCAGCCCGGCTTCCGTCACTTTGCACATGTTCCGGAAGGGGTTCTTGCGACGAGCCGGCAGCGTCGATGTGCTGCACAATCTGTGGATCACGTGGCTCTTTCTATCCGGCTTGCTTGTGCTACTCCTCCGGAGTGCTGTTGCTTGTCGGCTTCCGGCATGCTGGAGTTCCTGTCAACCATTGAAAATCCTGTACAGCCAGAGATCAGACTTTTCCTACAGCTGAAAGACGTCGCCAGACTCTTGTCACACTCCCACTCTCCTTCGTGTCGTCTTCCTACCCTTCGCCTTCTTCCCCTCTTCGCAATTTGGTCTTTCGTTTCTGCCCTGCGACATGCGGGGGAAGAGCGCACGCGGCTGCATGTCCAGCTTCGGTCAGTAGTAATTTCAAGTTTCCATTCGACCGTGTATGACTATATGCAACTGTCGGATACGAGACCCCAAAAGTTCTCTGAAACGATGTATTTGTCTCGCTGCAAATTTCAGGATTTCGACTGCACGAAGTCCGACAAACAGCCGGCTGCCTGCGGCTAAGTGTAGGGTTCACCGGGTTGGGGCGCTTGCTGAGAGAGGCGTAGAAATGAGCATGCCGAGTGCCTGTGTGGCTGATCAATGCCGAGGCAATGCAGAAGGTGTCTTCATGTTCTTTGTGCCAGCTGGCACAGAATCCGTCCACGACGATGTATACCATACAGAGGGGTGATGGGGCTGGTACTCGCATTGGACAGGCCGTGATGAGCTTGGCATACGCAGCCCAAAACAACATGAATTTTGGTGGTTTTTTCTTGGATCCAAGGCAACAGGATATAGTTCACGGAGATGACCAGCCACGAGCCATGAGTGCCTTTTTAGGTTGTAATTATTCGGACATGGTGGTGCGCACCCAAAGGCCTCAGTTCGATCAGTGTTGGAATGGCAGAGACACACTTGGTAGTGGCCTTGATGGCCAGGAGATCCTTCTTTTGGAATGCAATGGTATGGAGTGCCGACGAGACCAGGCGATTCTTACCTTACCGTTTCTGTCCGAGCTACGGAAGTCCACCTCACTTCTGAGGCATGCAACACCTTACTTCACAGGGAAGGGAATGAAGGTCGTCATTCATATACGCCGAGGGGATCGACTCCCAAAGGGCCCCGTCGATCTTGCAAGGAAGGTGAACGGCCAGCACTACGCATCGGACGCCTTATACCTGACTTTCTTGAGAAGGTTCCTGCAGCGCAAACAGAATGCCGAGTTTCATGTCATCAGCACGACGGAGGGTGGCTTCGCAAGCGAGAACTTCGATGTCTACAGAAACCTTGGTGTTCAAGTTCATTTGGATGGTGACATTGTTGAAGATTGGGCTCATATGGCTCAGGCCGATCTTCTTCTCATTGCTCCCAGTACCTACTCGTGGGTAGCTGGCCTGCTCAACGAAGCTTTGCTTGAATATTAAGCGTTTCTCATTCTGTTCAAGTTTTCTATGCCCTTTTTTGTTTCGGATGCAGAAGCACGCAAGGAGAAGTGTGTTGCAATTTTTAATCTCTTTCCGCTCCCCATCGTGTTGGACTGGATTGAACTAAGCGAGGACTTGCACGAGTTCACGGACATTGAGAGCTGCCTTTCAAAGAAAGGGTTCTACAGGTAGGTGGATGTGATGAAACAAACCAGAGCCGTGAGTGTGGACAAATGTTGCTGCGCGGCGAAAGGGAGGTACGTGCCAGTTCCAACTTAGCCCAGTAGTACGGTTCAGTGCATACTCCCTGAGCACCCACATGCTATTAGATAGTTGCCGAGGACATACCTCAGCAAGCCGAACGCAGAAGCATCACGCGGGCATATCCGGTTGTCTGGGTTCCTCCGTAAGCGCTTCTGTTCCTGCGGATTTCAGACAGCACGAAAGTTCTTCAAGGCCCCGGAATCTTTGAAGCCCAACGTCGGCATGGTGTTTTGGAACCTTTCTGATTTGCCCAGGTCTTGTGGCACACTTGCTCCAAAATTCCAGCAAGCTGGGCTCAATAGCGGCTGCATCTGCTTGATGCCAGGCGCCGCAAGCTTATGAATTGCAACGGCCAGCATCCCGGGCTCTGCCTTGCAAGAGAAGCTATTGCCAGCTGATCTACCATTCACGTGTTGTGTAGAGCGTGCCTCTCTCTTTCCCTCTCTCTTTCCCTCTCTCTTTTTTTTTCTCTCTCTCTCTCTCTCTCTCTCTCTCTCTCTCTCTCTCTCTCTCTCTCTCTCTGGCAGTCGCTTGGCACCGTAACGAGATTTTGTCAGCGAGCATATACATGTGAGTATGCCACCATGCCATTGCTGTAAGTACCTATGTTGCCACCTGTAGGCGTACGGGATTTTAGGCTTCCACCCCCCCTCTTGCAGAGCTTCCAAATCACTCCTGGGGGGGCGGGGGGAGATGAGATGAGATTAAATGAAATGAAATGAATGGAACTAATGCATGAATGAATGAAGTAAATGAACTAATGCATGAATGAATAATTCATGAATGAATGAATGAGATGAATGAATGATTGAATGAGTGAATGCTGGATGGATGGATGGATGAACGAATGAGTGAATGAATAAAAGAGTTAATGAATGAACAAAACTCAGAAATAGTTTTATGTAGTAGAATAAAATGAAGTGAAATGCAACGAAGTGCCGTGAAATGCATTGAAATGCACTGGGACGAAGGGAACTTAAGTAAAGTAAAGTGACGTGAAGTGAAATAACGTGAAATGAGGTGTAGTGAAATGACATGACGTGACATGACTTTACATGCAATGCAACGAATCAATATAGTACTGAAGGAACGAGGAACGACCCCGTCGACAGGGTGTGTGGTGGGGTGTGACAGAATCCGTTGACAGCGCCTCTGGTGGGGTGTGACTGGGCCTGTTGACAGGGCCTGTGGTAGGGTAGGGTCGGACAGGGCTTGTCGACGGGTGGGTGAGGGTGCACAGACCCTGTCCACAGCGCAGGGGTCGATAGGGCCCTTTGCAGGCCTATGAGGGCGCCTGCACAGACGCTGTGCAGACAGGGCCTGTGCTGCGTAGGCGCTGTCATATGCTGTGTAACACTCCGAATTTTCTCCATGCTGGCCGTGCATGGGTGCACGTCGATTGCAAGTCGCGATCCGAGCATTGAACCCGATTTGAGCATCGCGATTCAAGCACCCAAAACTCGAGCACCCGCCTTTCGGGCACGGGTGATTCAAGCCCTCACGATTCAACAATGGTTCAAGCACACGCGATACTGCACCCATTGCCATTCAAGGCCTCGCGAGCGTGATTCCTGCACATTCCATCATTTTGGGTGTTTCTGTTCCAGGCTGAGAAAGCTTGAGGCGAGTAGTTGGGTGCAGCTACGGAGTGGGGCATTCGCGGCTGAGGGTTTGGATTTAGTTCAGGATTTACAGTTGAAGGGGCTAGTTTGGCAGGGCTGGATTGGCGTTTGTGGGTCCAGCGTGCATATAACTTTCGGGTTCATGCTTCTCACAGTTCGGCTTGTTGGAATGTTTGGTTTTTTTGGTCAAACACCCGGAGCTGCAGCTGAACAACCTGAGGCCGAAGCGACAACCTGCTGTCAGACGCATGTGCAGTACACGAGGCTGTGTGCAGAGGACGGGACGAGGTATGCCTTGCTGGTCAAAGCAAGTGAGTAAATGAAGCCTAGCAAGAAAGCCTGAAGGAAGGATTTTTACTGTAGCATGTACGACAAGTGCTTTACGAGAGAGGAAGCTTTGCAAAGCGATACTTATCTAGAGTCTAGAGACCACGTCCGAACATGATACCTTCATGCTTACATACAGCTTACCTTGCGGAGCCTGGGTCGGACGAGGACAAGCATGTGCATGATGGGTGTGAAGATGAGAAATGCGATCACGGCCGCTCGAACTTCAGTAGCTCATCAGACCAGCTAGGTTGAGGTGTCACACCGCACCGTTTGCATAATGGGTGCCTTTGCGTTCCCCATGCGCCTGCTGGCAGCGTTGCTTGGCTTAGGCTTTCGCTGCGCAGCTGATTCCTGTGGTAAGGCTGATGACAGTGCTTTGCTTCAGGTCACAAGGTCATTCACACAGGAAGACATCTCCCTTCCCAACGCATGCAACTTCACTTCGGAGACCATGTGGCCGAATGAACTGCAGCAGCCGTACGTGGGAGTGCTGAAGCAGTCGTACAGGAAGGTGGAGCAGTTGCTGGCGGAAACTCTTTCCAAGGCCCCGGCTCCGTGTCAGGATGTGGTGTTGAAGATGAACATATACCCCAAGACTTCAGGCAAAGCCATTCCAAAAAAGGGAGCGGCCTATGCCGGCCAAGCCGGCTGTGGCGTATATCTTGTCAGTGATTGGGCCGCCTCCACGTTGGCATCAGAAGGCTCGACCGCCAATGGATGGGTGCTGATGCCTTTTCCTACGGATGCATATTTGGCAGAAGTACCACATGAAAGGAGAAGCAACGAGGGGCAGCGCATGGCCAAGGTCCGTGCGGGAGGGCAAGCAGTTCGAAACCCTAAGCCGTGTCTTTGCTCGGTTTTGACCATCGGATCGTAACCATTTCTCCGCAGTTTCAACTGCCTCAATGAGTCGATATCAGCGTTAATTAATTAATACATCCAGCATCCTTTCGCTGATCCCCTGAAGGCGATTCGCGTGGCATTGCCACTCCTCGTGCCTTCCTACATAAAACGGGTAACATATGCAGACACGAAGTGCGACTCGAACAAGTTTCTGCAAGATGCCTTACCCGTGGCCGCTGGAGCAGACTTGGTGCTGTTGAAGCATCCAAATAGGTTCGGCCATCATCTTGAGGAGGAGTTTGAGGCAGTCAGGGTCTGGATGCGCATGCGGCACGAGAATCACTTCGTGTTTGATGACGTGAAGAAACTCGAAGACTTCCTAGGACCGGACATGATCAACAAAAACGTGACCCTCTCCGACAATAAATGCATCCTGTGGCACCAGGGATCGGCCATTCAAGCATTTTCGCGGACGTGGTCTTGGTACCTTGCAGGTTTCTCAATGCGAACCCAGCTTTCCTTCAATGCAGTCCTTGACGCTTGTGGCCAGAACATGACGGTGAAGTTTCTGCCGTGGATGCAGAATGTGTAATTACAGAGCCACACGACACCGAAAGGCGGCTGCACAGAATCCGTCGAACCTGTAAAATCAGTTCAGGCAGCTCCAGCAAAGCTGGATTCGGCGTCCTATTGTTTGTCTTCGGCGCTGCTTGCAAATATCTCGCACCGCAAGCTCCGCAGTCTCGAATCCAAAATCCGAAAGCCTCACTGACGTAAGAGAAGCCTCACATGCACAGTGCTAGCTTCAGGATTGGGACCTATGGCCTTAGATATCTTAGATCAATTCCAGGCTCCATGAAGCTTTGGCTTCAGACGTCTGCAGGCTAAGAGATTCCCACGGAGCAGAGCGGCCTTGAAGTCCCCAAAACCAACCTAGAAACCCGAAATCAAGAAACCCCAAGCCTTGAACCCTAAACTGAAGCTGGCAGGCTGATTTGCCCTCATATTGCTCTGCATCGGCCTGAGCGTCGCTTTGCCTCTGGGGCCGTACTATTTCCAGTGCCTTGGAAGAAGGGTTAACCTGGAGATGTTGGGGGATGTTCCTTGCTTTTCCCCTCTTCAAGCGACGCGGACTTCAGGTAGCAAAACAACTGGTTCTCCACACCCAGAGAACACCCAGAATCTTTCCACGGGCGGGGGAATCCGTGCCGAGGCGAGGTCGGGTCATCCCGTGTAATCAGAAACGTCGCAATTGTCAGGAACTTTTTTCTAGAAATGATTCCCATAAGTTTGAACACCTGGGAATCATTTGTCCACGAGGCTCCGAACCACTTGGAATCATTAGGAGAAATGATTCCTGCAGGGCCTGTCCCCCAACAAAGAAGGCGCCATGGCCTTGAACCCGATCGCTAACAATCTCCGTCTTCATTCAGCAGCTCCAGACGCCTCGGTCCGAGGCACCGCTGTGGCATCAACAATAACTTGGAGTGCCAGATTGTGGTGCAGCATATTTGGAGGTTACCTGACACATTGATTGCCTGCATGTTTTTCGTCTGCTTGGTGCAGCCGGGGATTCCATTGCATGTGCTTGTACCTTGGAACCTGGGAAGACATGTTTGCTCAGTTGCCATGGAGCCTGGCATTCTGAGTGTTCATGCAGGGTCATCTGGTAGAAGCCGTTCTGCTCCGCCACGGAAGCCCCGGTCAAAGGTCACAAGGAGAGGAGGGAGAAGCATGGCATTAGGAGCGACTAGTGGGCTCTACTTTAGAGCCCAGTCCGGGGGGGTTCAGCCGGATCCTCGACGGAGGCTGTGATCTTGCCTCTCAGACACCAATTTCCTGGCTGTCAAAAGCCATTGCCGCCCATCGGGCAGAGGCGGCGACAAACGCCACGAAGACGTAGAAGATGCAGAGGTCGAAAAAGCCGATCAGTGACGAGTAGGCGTCGCAGATCAGAGCCGGCCAGTTTCGACAGTGCGTAAGCAAATGCCGGTCGGGGCATGCCGTCCCATGCAGCCAGTGGCCATCGCACCTGACGAAACACCGGCCAATGTAACGCTTGTCGGTGGTCGGCGGGAAGGAGATGGCGGCAAAGAAGACGAATCCAAAGCCCAACCGAAAACGGCCACAGAAATGCTGGCGGTGGGTCTTGGGCAGCAGCCGCGGGCATATTTCCGTTGAGGGCAGGCTGGACGTCGTCGCCGGTCGGGGCGAAGTGGTGCGATCAAGGCTCGCTCAGCCACCATCCTCGCGCAGATCTATACGAGGCTTGGAGACGAACAGGCCGTCATCCGTTTTCGAACGACCAAAAGGCACCGCACCTTTGTAGATTTTGGCAAACACGTCGCGAGCTTGGACTTTGTTTGCATGTTTTTGCCTAATTACATGGTCAGGTGCCTGCAGGAATTAGGTGGAGGTGATCTGGTTGTATGCAATCAAATCCGAACCAATCCACTGTACTGTTCATACTGATTTGCTTGATTCTGAACGCGACGTCTGGGATCAAGTATGTACAGATTCGTTGTGACGCGTGATTCGTGGTGATGATAGGTGCGTGAAGCACATTGGCATATGGGATGCCAAGCATTTGGGCTGTAGGTCAGCTTAGGTGCAGAAGGCTCCCCTTTGGGAGTTTGCAGGCACTGTCCTTACGAGTCGTTTCAGTGTCATAGGTATACCCGAATCTTCGTTTCCACAGTGACAGATCGCTTCTCGCAGCTGCTGCCTCCTCCCCCTTTGCCTGCATGAAGATTCGAAGTCAGATGAGACTGTTTGTCCGGCAGACATGAACATGCAGCAAATCCCTTTTCCCACGCCCTCAGTTTCAGACACTGATTTTAACTTTTAAGAGGTTAATCCTTACCAACATCTAACCGGGTTTCATATGATTGAAGACAGGTCGATCATCTAGCAGCTTGCCGGCGAGAAAGCGTGGCTTTCTGGTGGTGCCGCTGCGTCGTCTGCAGGAACTTTTGAGCAGGCGTAAGAAGGGCAAATTGCCGTTTCCGAATGCGCCCGTAATCCTTTCGAGAGGGCTGCAGGAGGTCTGGCGATTCACGGATCAAATCCTTCGCTTGTTTGTGGACTTCGACAGTGTAGGTCTTTTCGTCAATTGTGGGTTGTGACTTCCTAGACCGCAACTTGGACCCGGAGCTTTTCGCTACAAGCTTGGCATGTCGTGGGAGCTGAGGCTGTTTCCTCACAAGCGGTTTCAGACGTCTCGACATCCGCTTTTGCCGAGATTCTGGCTCAAGAACCCATCACCGAACCGCACAGCTGTGATGCCTCAATGTGTGCTTCGCCACATCTGCGCCTTCGCATCTCTTTTTGCGGCTGTGAGAGGCTTGACATTCTGCGGTGGCTGAAGAGTTAGCGGGAGGTTCTGTAAGTTTGTGTTGCATGCAGTCGTTACGGGCGGCTTGGATGCTCCCCGCATCTTTCGCATGCAGTTTTGCTCGAAGTTACCTTGGTTAACGATTTTCGCTTGCAACATGTCTGACCGTTGTCATGATCCTGCAGCTGAAAGATGACAGCAAATCGAGGGAAGCTGTGCTCGGAGCCCGGACTCAAGCCGCTTCATCAGCATCTTCTCCCACAACTGCATCATTTGACACCAGCATGGATTAGCGAGTCCATCAGGACCACCGATCGCAACATTTCTCATTTGCAAGCCCGTGTCGTTCCAATAGACGCAGCTCTTTCAGTGACCCAGCCTAACAAGGCTCGCCAGTGCTGCGTGCCTGCAGATTATTGAACTGTTGAGGGTTCATGCACGGCTCCTGTTTTGTCCCCCCCCCCCCCCCCCCAATACTTAGACTTAAACCAAAACCGATCCCCATTTCGCCAATCTCCGGCCACCGTGCGCATACGATTGTGTTTGACACGGGAACAATGCTCTTCTGCCCCTTTGAGCCCCCAGAAATTGTAGAACACGTCTTCATTGCCTCCCGTCCCCTCCACGGCATTGGGCTATGCTCACCCGCCTGAAGGAACCCACGACTTGAAGATGGAAATCGTGTTTTTTCTGACCCTCCCCTCCTCTCCTCGGCTAGAAGCACCATCTCGTACAAGTTCGAGTGTCGGTTCCCGGGTTGAGATGTCGAGGGGACGGGACTGGACTTCCAGATCCAAGGACAACGAGGACACCTGTTCTTTTTGCCTTCATTTCCTCATCCTCGGCTTCCGTTATCCCCTCCTGTCATTCCGTCCTCGTGCTATGCAAATATAACCCTGCCCTCTCTTGCGTTTTCTAGTTCACATGTGTCCATCGCAAACAGCCATCACCTATCATCTGTTTCTACAACTGGAACGGCCGAAATGGTGACCAGTCAAAAAAGAGGCATGTGTAACAGACTGCACATACATCTGTAAGTGCACAAGACACGAGCGATATAAACATATATGCATGCATGCATGCATACACACACACATATATATATATATATATATATATATACTTATATAATCCCATTTTATGTTATCTCATATTGAACTCTTATGTTATGTTATATGTTATTTTGTCATATTGTCTCAGTGCACTGAGTACTATAGTACACCGCAGCTTTGTGTATTTTATGATACCATATTGTTTTCTTATGTTTTATCATATCATGTCATAGTACAATACCGTATGTTACATCATATTGTATTATATACTGCATTATGCTATAGTATATCATATTACATCAGATTGTAGCATTTATGAAACAGACTATATACTATAGAACAGTGAGACATGTGTATGTGTGTGTATATATACATGTACGTATGTGTGTGAGGCGGGGGCCTTTGCTTATAATGTGTCTAGTGTTCGTTGAGTGAATACTAGCCGTACTCGCCCACACACTGCACCACCGCTACTGCTGCCACTGCTGCTGCTGCTACTGCTACGACGACGACTACCACTACTACTACTGCTACTACGGCCACCACCACCACCACCACCACCACCACCACCACCACCACCACCACCACCACCACCACCACCACCACCACCACCACCACCACCACGATTACTCCTACTACTACTACTACTACTACTACTACTACTACTGCTGCTACTACTACTGCTGCTACTGCTACTGCTACTGCTACTGCTACTGCTACTGCTACTGCTACTGCTGCTACTCCTACTCCTACTCCTACTCCTACTCCTACTCCTACTCCTACTCCTACTCCTACTCCTACTCCTTCTCCTTCTCCTTCTCCTTCTCCTTCTCCTTCTCCTTCTCCTTCTCCTTCTCCTTCTCCTTCTCCTTCTACTCCCACTCCCGCTCCCACTCCCACTCCTACTCCTACTCCTTTTTTAATTCTACCCCCCCTACTACTACTACTACTACTACTACTACTACTACTACTACTACTACTATTATTACTACTACTACTACTACTACTACTACTACTACTACTCCTTCTGCTACTGCTGCTGCTACTGCTACTACTACGGCGACTACTGCTACTACTGCTCCTGCTGCTACTACTACTACTACTACTACTACTACTACTACTACTACTACTACTACTACTACTACTACTACTACTTCTACTACTACTCCTAGTCCTAGTCCTAGTCAAGTCCTACTCCTACTTCTACTCCTACTCCGACTCCTCCTGCTCTGCTCCTGCTCCTGCTCCTGCTCCTGCTCCTGCTCCTGCTGCTGCTGCTGCTGCTGCTGCTCCTGCTGCTGCTCCTGCTGCTGCTCCTGCTGCTGCTCCTGCTCCTGCTCCTGCTCCTGCTCCTGCTCCTGCTCCTGCTCCTGCTCCTGCTCCTGCTGCTGCTGCCGCCGCTGTTCTTGTTACTGCACCTGCTACCACTACTGCTGTTCTGGTTACTGCACCTGCTACCGCTATGCTGCTGCTGCTCATGCTACTGCCACTCACCACCACTGCCACCAGCACCACCAGCAGCAGCAGCAGCAGCAGCAGCAGCAGGACCAGCAGGACCAGCAGGACCAGCAGGACCAGCAGGACCAGCAGGACCAGCAGGACCAGCAGGACCAGCAGGACCAGCAGGACCAGCAGGACCAGCAGCACCAGCAGCACCAGGAGCAGCAGGAGCAGCAGGAGCAGCACAGCACCAGCACAGCACCAGCACAGCACCAGCACGGCACCAGCACAGCACCAGCACAACACCAGCACAGCACCAGCACAACACGAGCGCAACACCAGCACAACACCATCACAACACCAGCACAACACCAGCACAACACCAGCACAACACCAGCACAGCACCAGCACGGCACCAGCACCGCAGCAGCACAGCACCAGCACAGCAGCAGCACAGCAGCGGCACAGCAGCAGCACAGCAGCAGCACAGCACCAGCACAGCACCAGCACAGCACCAGCACGGCACCAGCACAGCACCAGCACAGCACCAGCAAAGCGCCAGCACAGCCCCAGCACAGCACCAGCACAGCACCAGCACAGCAGCAGCACAGCACCAGCAAAGCACCAGCACAGCAGCAGCAGCAGCAGCAGCAGCAGCAGCAGCAGCAGCAGGCTCTTCATGTGTAGGTTGAGCCGTAAGGTTTGCACGATGTGGGAATTTTGGAAGAGGTCAAAAAGGATCTGGATAAACAGCAACAAGTGTATGGCAGTCGAAATCGTGGCTTCGTGCCAGTCTGGCTTTCCGGATGTTGTTGTTCGGGGTTCTTTCTCTGGGATTTTCGGACAGGGGTTGAAGGCTGAAAGGTTTCAAGGTGATGTTACGTACAGGTGCATGCTCCTGCCAAAAAGTACTGTTTGGAGTCATCCTGCACTGCGCAGGCACTGTCAGCTGTGTTGATGCATTCTTCGTCCCCACGGCTGCGATCTATCAGATGCCCGGATTTAGGATCCAGCATTGCCGATGGCCTTTGCTGACGGGATCTGGTTTTACATGTTTGAGGGTTGGTTTCGGGTTCTGGTCGGCGGGCTACTGTAAGGCCTTACAGAGTGATCAGATGCAGATTTCACATGTAAACCTTGAGCTCAAGGTCGTTTTGTGGCTGTTGCAGGTAGTTCCTGAGCTGGCCAATCTTTTTACGGGAGGTTTGGTGTCTGATCTATGTGCTGGACTTGCCACTTTGAAAGGTTGGCACCGCCCATTGCTGATTCAGCTCTCAGCTCGAAAACTCGGGAGTTACCAAGGCACAGAGATCTCTAAGGCCCCGAGGTGCAAAGACATCATCCCAGCTTTCAATCCTTTTTCTTGAATCCAGACAATCCGAAACCGCCTGAAACCCTGGACTCTATGCCTTTGTTGCCGCCAGAGGGCTGTGCAAGTTAACATCTCGACACCTCAATATTGGCCGTGCTGTTGAGTTCATTACACCCTGAAGCACGGCAGCGAACGATTGATCATCCGAAGTCAAATGGAAGTGCCCCTCCTTATCTGAATGCGAAACCCAAACAACTCAAAGCCGCGAGCCCCGCGCAAAGTCCAACGCCGGAATGCCCGACTCAAAAAACCTAGACTTCCCTAGCCTTGAAGCGTACATCGACGACACAAAGCATCTCGAGAAGCTTCCTGATGTCTTCTACATGGCCGAGGAAGAGTCCTTTCCTCCATATTGATGCCAAGGCGACTCAGCCCTGTGAAGGGCGTTTTTGGGCTGGGCTGCTTGAGATACTGCGAAGCACGAAAGGGCCTAAGTGCAACCACCAAAACAGGGGCCGGTGCGGGACTGTGGCGAGAATGCAAATGTAGTTGAAGATGTGCGCTGCACCCTCACGCTGATAGTGCGAGAGCCCAATGGTGTTACCGCACTGTCTGGGGCACAGTTCAAGTCGAGTTCATCTGTTCCCCTGTAGAAGATTCGCGAAGTGATTTACTACGCACGGTCTGCTGACTGAAGCGCAGGACGATCGCGAGTCGGTTTCTGAAGATGTGGCTCTCCTGCAGCGCTACTCGGCCATCCTAGTGTGGCATCTATCAGATTAAGCAGGGATGTGCCGCCGTGTGTACATGCTCGAAGGTTTTGCCTCAAATTACGGTCGTCAATGCTGGTAGGAGTCGTTGGCATATAGGCGTGTTTGTCGAGATCGCGGTACCCTGATGTTGGTTGGTGATGGTCGCGGCAGCAAAGTGAGGGTGGTTTGGGTGCTATTCGCGACGTCATTTTTTTTTTCTTTTTCTGTTGATGGTGTTGTCGGCGTAAAACAACAACAACAACGACAACAACAACAACAACAACAACTACAAACCACTGGGACGGCAACGGCAAAGGCAACAGCAACAGCTACAGCAACAGCAGCAGCAGCAGCAGCAGCAGCAGCAGCAGCAGCAGCAGCAGCAGCAGCAACAGCCACAGCAACAGCAATGGGATAGGCAGTAGAAAAATATTTAAACAGGCATCAAAAAACATCAAGTAGGCATCAAGAACAATTAAACAGGCATCACAAAACTTAAAGCGTTTAAAGCGAGAGAGAGAGAGAGAGAGAGAGAGAGAGAGAGAGACAGACCGAGAAAGAGAAAGACAACGAGAAAGGGAAAGAGAAATACATAAATAGACAAAGAAAGACATCAATAAATCAGCAAGTCAAGAAAAGAACGAACTAGATAGAAAGAAATAAAGAAAGGAAGGAATGACGGAAGAAAGAAATTAAGAAAGACAGAACAAGAAGTAACCACAACAAGAACGAAAGAACAGGAATGAAGGAACGACATAAAGTAAGAACACCCCCAAAAGAAGCCAGGGAATAAGTAAACACTAAAGTAAAAAAGACAGAAAGAAACAACCAAAGACAACGACAGAAAAGAACACACAACTGGAGCGGGAAATCAAAAGAGAAGGACACCAACACGAATGCTGAAACGAAAACTGACGAAAGAAAGCCGCAAGAAACCGCATACAGACACACATGCGGAACTAAGAAATCACCAACGTTCGCAACAAAGAAGAACACACAACAACGACAGCGCACAACACATGCCCACCGCCGCCCTTTCTTGAGCGGTGCTTGCTTCAAAGCAGTGTTTTCGAAACCTTTCATGTGAGCATTTTTTTGCAAACAGGGAGCGGGGTGCGTCACCCCGCCTCCAAACCCCCTCCGCCTTTCGAAGCCGTGCAAGGTTGCAACTCCCCCGCTGTTCTATGCGGCGCAAGCTTGCTTATCTTGCTTCAAAGTACATGACTTTCCTTTGAAACCCATCATGCGATCATTGTGTTTGGGACGTGTTGTGGATACATGCTGAACCGGAATCGCCAAATGCGGGGACATGTTCCAGATATATGATGAACCGGAATCGCTTATGAGGGGGTCGTGTTTAAGATATAGGATGAACCGGAATCGCCAAAACGAGGGGGCGTGCTTCAGATATATGAGGAACCGGAATCGCCAAATGAAGGGGCGTGTAAAAGACATATTATGAACAGGAAACGTCAAACGAGAAGGCGTGTTGTAGATATACGAGGAACCGGAATGGCCAAATGAGGGGGCGTGTTCAAGACATATTATGAACAGGAAACGCCAAACGAGAAGGCGTGTTGTAGATATAGGAGGAACCGGAATCGCCAAATGATGGGGCGTGTTAATTGAGCACTTTCGAAGTGCCGAAGCTCCAATAGCGGGCCTTGGATCATTTCGCGGCGTCCGGAAGAAGATGCACCGATGCATCATTTATGCATTGACCCGGGAAAGTGGGTCCCGGTTTCGTCCCCTCCCTGAAGCCGAGCTTTTGAAGACGAAATTGTTCGCAAGGAGCTGAAGCTCAAATTGTGCGCGAAGACGAAATGTGAAGACGAAAATTGGCCATGAAGACGAAATTCCTGTGAAGACGAAATTCGGTTTGGGGCACGCTGAAGACGAAGTTCAGCCCTGAAGACGAAATTCGTCCTGAAGACGAACTTCGGCCCGAAGACAGACTCACTCAACGTTCTAGGCTCGGGAATGCTTTTCTGAAGAGAAGAAATTCAACCCTGAAGACGAAATTCGGCCCTGAAGACGAAATTCGGCCGCGAAGACGAAATTCGGCCAGGAAGACGACATTCGGCCGCGAAGACGAAATTCGGCCCTGAAGAGTCAATTCGAGCGCGAAGACGAAATTCGGCCCCGAAGACGAAATTCGGCCGCGGAGACGAAATTCGGCCCGGAGAACGAAATTCGGCCGCGAAGACGAAATTCGGCCCTGGAGACGATATTCGGCCGCGAAGACGAAATGCGGCCCTGAAGAAGACGAAACAAGAGTCAGGGGCGCTCCATCAGTCCAAGGCCTTATTTTCAGAGGTCCAGATCTATAAGAGTTCTGATTTGAAAATCAGGGGCGCGCCATCAGTGCAAGGCTCTATCCTCGGAGTTCAACGTCTACAAGAGTTCCGATTTAACAGTCAGGGGCGACCCACCAGTCCAAGGCCCCACCCTCGCAGTTCCAGATTTGTAAGGGTTCTGAGTTAAAAATCAGGGGCGCTCGGTCAGTCCAAGGCCCTATCCGTGGAGTTCAAGATCTATAAGAGTTGTGATTAAAAGAATCAGGGGCGCCCCATCACTTCAAGGGCCGCTTCTCGGAGTTCAAGATCTTTCAAGGTTCTGCCTTAAAAATTAGGGCGACCCATCAGTCCAAGGCCCCACCCTCGGGGTTCAAGATCTGTAAGTGGTCTGATTAACAATCAGGGGCGCTCCATCAGTCCAAGGCCTTATTGTCAGAGGTGAAGATCCATCAGAGTTCTGTTGGCAAAATAAGGGGTGCACCATCAATGCAAGGCTCTATCGTCGGAGTTCAAGATCCGTAAGAATTTTGATTTAAAAATCAGGGGCGACCCGCCAGTCCAAGGCCCCACCCTCGGAGTTAAAGATTTGTAAGGGTTCTGAATTTAACATCAGGGGCACGCCATCAGTCCAAGGCCATACTCTCACAGTTCCAAACCTAGACTATACGAGTTTCTCTTGGTTACATCAGGGGCGCCCCATCAGTCCAAGGCCCCACCCTCGGAGTTCAAGATCCATACGACTTTTACTTGAAAACAATCAGGGGCACCCCATCAGTCCAAGGAAATATCCTCGGAGTTCAAGATCTGTAAGAGGTCTGATTAAAAATCAGGGGCGCTCCATCAGTCCAAGGTCTTAGTTTCAGAGGTGAAGATCCATCTGAGTTCTGTTGGCAAAAACAGGGGTGCACCATCAGTGCAAGGCCCTATCCTCGGAGTTCAAGATCTGTAAGAGTTCTGATTTAGACATCAGGGGCACGCCATTGGTCCAAGGTCCTATCCTCAGAGTTCAAGATCTATGAGAGTTCTGTTTAAAAAAATCAGGGGCGCTCCATCAGTCCAAGCGCCCCATCACCTCAAGGGCCTTTTCTCGGAGTTCAAGATCTTCAAAGGGGTTCAGACTTAAAAATCAGGGGCGACCCACCAGCCCAAGGCCTACTTTCGGAGCGATAGATCGGTAATGGTTCTGACTTTAACATCACGGGCGTGCCGTCAGTCCAAAGCCTTATTCTCAGAGTACCGGACCTATATAAGAGTTGTTTTTAGATAAATGCTTGAAAAAATCAGGGTCGCCCCATCAGTCCAAGGCCCTATCCTCGGAGTTGCAGATATATACTATACGAGTTCTGATTTAAAAAATTAGGGGCGCCCATCACTCCCAGTTCAAGATCTTTCAAGGTTTTACCTTAAAAATTTAGGGCGGCCCATCAGTCCAAGGCCTTATCCTCGGAGTTCAAGATCTGTAAGAGGTCTGATTAAAAATCAGGGGCGCTCCATCAGTCCAAGGTCTTAGTCTCAGAGGTGAAGATCCATCAGAGTTCCGTTGACAAAAACAGGGGTGCACCATCAGTGCAAGGCCCTATCCTCGGAGTTCAAGATCTATAAGAGTTCTGATTTAGACATCAGGGGTGCGCCATTGGTCCAAGGTCCTATCCTCAGAGTTCAAGATCTATGAGAGTTCTGTTTTACGAAATCAGGGGCGCGCCATCAGTCCAAGCGCCCCATCACTTCAAGGGCCTTTTCTCGGAGTTCAAGATCTTCAAAGGGGTTCAGACTTAAAAATCAGGGGCGACCCACCAGCCCAAGGCCTACTTTCGGAGCGATGTTTCGTGTTTTTGTTCACGTATGTTTTAGAAGGCATGTGAATCTATAGCACATCGCAGCACTGGCTCTAGCACTTGAGTTTTCTCGAAAAGCGAGATTTAGCCGTAGCTACTGCCTTGTAGCTTTCCTGTCTCTGCCTTAGAGCGAAGCCATGTTGCCGGCACATGTAGTAGTGCCCCTCGCCATGTTTCAGTGGGAGCTTGACCAAGCCCCGCCTTCGCCCAGGCCTTCACCTTTGCCTCCGCGGTGGATTCGTCCCCCGGACTTTGCCTTTGCCCCAGCCAGCCTTGCCTTGCATGAGTGGAGCTGGTATGTTGTTACGTTCAGGGAGTGCTTCGCCCTGCAGCCGCATGAGGGCCAGCCTTTAGAGCCTTGCCTCCAGGAATTCCTGTTTTCCTGGACTGTCTGCCCTCGCATTCTCATTTGCCTGGAAGTCCATGAATGGCTCCCCTTGGTTCTAGCCAATGATGAGTGCCACCAGCTTATGGTTGAAATGCTCTTTTGAGACCTTCCGCCTCTCAGGTAGCCGCCGGGCCCTCAGCCATGGACCTGCAGCAGCCTGACCCATTTTTTCTGCCTTTGCGAATCTTGCCGTATCAGTGGCACTGGCCGGGCCTGCTCGATGCCCTGCCACTGCCAGGTTACATGGGACAGCCCAACAGCCCTTGCCTTCAGGACCTCCTGCTGTCAGGTACAGTCGGGCCCCGCATCTTGCTGTTTGCAGGTGGGCCCTCTTGGTTGCCTTTAGCCTTGCTTTCTCAGGAAGCACATGAATACTTGGTATCACATTTGGACATCACCGACTAGCTTTCGCCCAGGTCCGAAGCCTACGCCGCGGATGCCGCCAGAGCCTTCGGGCTCCGCCTGGCTCGGCC